TAGCTAAAGGCTACACACAGAAGGAGGGCGTTGATTATAATGAGATTTTCTCACCAATTGTTAAGTACACCACTATTAGGGTCATGCTCGCATTGGTTGCATACTTTAACTGGAAATTTGAACAACTTGATGTAAAAACTGCTTTTTTACATAGTAAGTTTGATGAACAAATCTTCATGAATCAACCAAAAGATTTTAAGGATAAGTCAAAATCTGATTATGTGTGTTTTCTGAGAAGATCCTTGTATGGGTTAAACCAATCTTCTGGACAGTGGTACAAGAGGTTTGATTCCTTTGTACTCACTATAGGGTTCTAAAGAAGTAAATTTGATCACTGCTTGTATTTTCAACACAATGAAACTGATGATAATTATCTGTTTTTGTTGTTCTATGTAGATGACATGTTTTTGATTGGATCATCCTCTAAGTGGATAAATAACATAAAAGTAAAACTAAGTGGTGAATTTGATATGAAAGACCTAGGTAAGGCTAAGAGAATCTTAGGTATTGAAATCGAAATAGATATGTCAAATTCCGTTTTGTTTTTGCATCAGTCTTCATACATATCCAAAGTATTGAAGAAATTTAATATGAGTGATTGAAAACCTGTCACGCTGCCTCTTGCTAATCATTTTATTTTGTCGAAAGAACAATCCCCTTGCAATGAGCGTGAAGTGGAATGCATGAGTAGAGTGCCTTACTCTAATGTGATTGGTTCCATAATGTATTTGATGGTTTGCACTAGACCAGATTTAGGTTTTACTGTTAGTACTCTCAGTAGATACATGGCTAATCCGGGCCCTAAACATTAGGAAGTGGCAAAGTGACTATTAAAGTACTTGAAGGATACAAGTGACGTAGGTTTAAAATTTAGTGCTAATAAAGAAGGTATAAAATTAAAGGGTTTTGTAGATGCTGATTACGCGGGAGATATGGATGGTACTTCGTCTTACGTGTTTACCTTATCTAATTCATGTGTTAGTTGGAAATCACAGTTACAACATATTGTTGCATTATCCACTACAGAATCAGAATATATTACTACCACTGAAGCTATTAAAGGAGCTGTATGGCTTAGAGGCCTTCTTATTGAACTATATGTCTTGAATGATTATGTGGTAGTGTATTCTGAAAGTCAGTCATCTATACATTTATGCAAGAACCCCATTTTTCATGAGCGCACTAAACACGTTGATATTAGACTCCACTTCATTAGAGATATAGTATCTCAAGAGGTGGTAAGACTTGAAAAGGTTCACACCTATTACAACCCTTCTGATATGGGGACGAAGGTACTGCAACGGGCAAAGTTTAGAAGTTGCAAAGAACTTCTAAACATTGGTACAGGTAAATGATTTCCAATTTTATTGGTTGTCTATTAAAGGTGTCACTAATGGGAGACATTTTCTTTTGCAGGTCCTTTGACACCAAGGTGGAGGTTGTTAGACAATTTGTTGTCAAACGGCCCCTCGGGCTATGATGTAACCCCGATTTTATCTATTATCAATCGGCCTTGGCCATATGATTGATTTATATGTCGACACAATTATCAAGACAACCCAACCCACATCCCTATGGACCGTTAGAAGCAACATATTGTTAATAGTGTTGCTCATGATTCGTCCCACTTCCTTGGAGGGTTATGGTATTAATTTGGAGCCCATTACTTTAAGTTGAGCCTTGTTTGGTCCACTAAATAAACCTAACCTAACTTACCATTTTTTGGTCACTCACTTGGGTTATATTCTCGGCCTCTCTTCGCCTCCACTATGAAGCATAATCCATCTCTCTCTGTGACTTTGATTCTCGGCTTCTCCTCTTTATATCACCTTTGTGGTTTCTTGTGGGCAACCTACTGTTCTTCACCTTGGCCAACTCTTTATGAGTATATTGTAGCAATCGGAGGTGGAAACAAAGACGGTGGTTTTGGGTGTTGTCTCAACCGGCGGTGGTGTCGACATATAGTGGAAACTGAGCCCAGTTTACCTTGATTATTGCTGGGAATTCGACCTTACAGACACGATATCCTCCGAATTTAAAGAGTGGAAAGAAGTTGGAAAGAAATCTTGAAACCATTGAAGCTCTTCGATTGATCCTTGATCAATCTCCTTCTTCAATCCAAGCAATTGTGTATGAACTATGATGTAAAATTATGTGTTTTATAACTTATCAATTGCAAGTTTCAAAGGTTTGCAATGAAATCCCCAAAATTTTCAATTGTCAAATTTAGCTCCTGAAACTCGTAAATATCTTTCAGTTGCTCTTTTAATTCTTCTATTTGATCAAGCGCCATCCGATTTATCTTTCAATTTCTCTAAATCAATTCTAATTAAGTTCAAAAATGCTTTTCTTATCCAATTGCCTCCAAGTTAGAGTTTTTCCTACCATTAACATATTCACACTAAATTAAGTAGTTATCAGTTCACTTTAACAATAAATGATCAAGTTTAAAAGCCCGAATAAGAGATATAATATGCATATCACCTACCTTACTCAGATAAGGATACAAGTAGAATGTAGGCGTTTGCACATTCGCTACCATTGCAATTTGTGAATATTCAATTGTTGGGCTCATAATATGGAAAATTTGACACCCTATGTCATTGACTGATCAATTGTATACCTATGTTGCGCAATAGCTGAACATTTTAAGTGAGCTGGTGCTATTGAGGATGTCAACTTTGCCATACTAAAAAAAGAATAAACCATTGTCAAGATAAGAGACCAGAAACTCAAAATACCAGCTGTTAACTGGCCATGCTAAGCTTGATTTAAGATAAGGGTTACCTGAGATATATCTGGCATAGAGCTTATAAATGTCTTGATACGCAAATTAATTTGTATTTTTATTTAATGAGTTCAAGTCCATCACAATGTCCAACTAGAGTACCAGAATACCTGCCCACTCCCACGTGTAAGCAACTCACCTTCCCTACAAACATGGACATCAAAGCTCAAAGCCGTACACATAAACGCCCCTTCCTTTCCTATTATTATTCTCTCCTCTTAATTTGTCATTCTTCAGATTAGCAACATATATTATTGTGTGTTTTTGAGATTTCTTTTTGAAATTTGAAATTTGAAATTCAGATCAAGAAACGATCATCCAGCTACCCATGTGCTCTGCATAGAAGAAAGAGAACCCAGAAAACCAATATATATATATATATATATATATATATATATATATATATATATATGGAGATTGTGGCAATGAATTAGAAAATGGAATCTTCTAAAAGAATCAAATTGTGTCAATTATAGACCATGAAAATTGTGCAAAAGCAGAACGGGGGCCGAGAAAATTTCTAGTCATTCGCCATTGCATCAGCCGCCCCACATTGGCAGATGCCTCCAAATCGGTGAGTAATTTCCCAAGTAAATCTCACATTTTGCCTTTAGTGAAGTGGGATGTTCTTAATTCTATCCAATTGTTGGATGTGAATTTTATTTATGGATTTAGATTGTGATTTAGGACTGTGTTGCAATTGAATGTAAGGAAATATTTAGAACACGTTATCGAATTATATGTTAAATTGCTCACATTTGATCCAGCTATATCGAATATGCTTGATCTGAGTGATTGACTGAATTTGAATACGTTGAATTTTATACTGAAATTACTGGTCTAAAGTCGACATCAGGGGAAAGTTCTGCATTTGTACCCCTTTTTTGATCTGGAAGCTGTTCTGAGAAGGGCCCGAAGCCATACATGGGGGACGAGTACGTTTTGTGTGGACTTCTCCTGGAGGATTCTATGGGGTATTAACAAGTTTCCATTTTTTGTGCCACGTAAAGATTTCTTTCGTCTGTCAACTCTGTAGCAAAACTATGAATTGAAGCGAAGACTTCTTTCGGAGAGGGAAGTAAATACCAGCATTTCCATATAATTATACTTGACCACAATACACTGAAAATAGTGTAGTCAAGTAGAGCTAGATTGTATGATTGCCTTGGTTGTTCATATTTAGAATCTATTATGGTTGCCAATCTTCAGCTCACTAAGATTCTTATTCGCTTTCAGGTGTTCGATGGTCATGGTGGCTTTGATGCTGCAGTATTCACTCGAAAGAACATCCTCAAGTTTGTTCTCGAGGATACCAAGTTCTCGGCTAGGGTAAAAAGCGCAGTCAAGAATGCTTTTATGAAAGCTGTTTACGCGCTGGCAAATGCTAAATCTCTTGATCGTTCATTCGGCACCACTGCTCTGATTGCTCTTATGCTAGGAAGGTAAGGATTCGAGTGGCTCTCAAGTTACATCTCATAATTTACATGTAACTAATTATATGCAGCTATACACCTCGAATCATGCAAGGATATGATAATCGCTAATACTGGGTATTCTCGAGCAATGCTGGGTAAAAGAAAAAGAGCAATCGAACTGTCAAAATATCACAAACTTAATTGTACCTCTCAATGAATCAAGATAGAAAAGCTCGGGGAAAGTTACTAGCAGCCGATGTGCTGTAACGATTGTAAGAAAGGCGCTGATGAAACATAACACTCATCAGGGAGGCCACCAAACACAATACGTATAATAATTTAACTGTAGTCGTGATCTGTTTCTCTTCAGATCCTCCACCTCAGATTGAGATTCCGACCTCAAAAAAGAGGAGAAGCATGTCAACGGAAGGAATTGATCTTTTAAAAGGTGTCTTGAGTAATATCTAAAAACTATGATTTTGCTAGTGTTAAAGTCGAGTTCACAACAGCTGGGAAAATTTTCTTAATTTTGCAACCCAGCAACACTAAATATTTAGTACTGCATATAAAACATGCCATGCCATGCCATGCCATGCAACGAGCATATTGTATAAATTCAGGATTCTGTATCGGTAGGTCGTTGAGAGAAATCCTTAATTTTAGTCTTAGATCTAGGAAGTAGGCTGATTTTCTCAAGTGGATTCATGTTCCTGTCTGCTTATATATTTCATAAATCGTACACAAATTCAGTCTACATTATTCCTCGCCCAAGTCTTCTAAAAAAAAATTCACGATCAGGCAGCAACATAAGATTATTATAACTTCTGACTGTTACAAATTTTACATAATTATCATTGTTCATCGATGCATTACATTAGCATTACATGTGTATGTACACACCAGTAGTATATACAAATCCCCAGTATATATGATGGACCATAAATCTTCTAAACACATGTAAGAAGCTAGAATGTTGTACCTTTGAAGTACTTGTGAAACCATTCTTCTTCTCTACAGTGTGTGTACATGACTTTGTAGACTTCGATCAATAATTTTGGGAACCGAGTCATAAAATACCTATCAAATCCTTCGGGAACCGATCCGATTAATTTCTGAAATGTAACACCGCAAATGTAACTTTAATTACTTGTAAACATCATGTGGTATTAATAAAAGATGAAAGATCTCATAGCTACTAAAAACCCAATTGGCACACATTCACATGCAGTATGCTAGTATATGAGCTTAAACATCAACGTGAAAGCTTAGAAAACTTGACAAGTACCTGCATTTCTGTGGGAAGCTCTCGATAATGATTCAACTTGTTACGCATGGCTCGTAATAAGTCACGAACACTATCATACTTATAACGTCTATAGCGTCCGATGTTATCAAGAAATGAAGATTCCATCTTTTCGTCCCACTTTGCACCTAAAGCCAATGGGGCTGTACTTTCTAGAGCTTTTAATAGAAGAGGATCGGTCTCTCTGTCTTCCAATTCTACCCTGTCACTTGTGTCACGAAGGAAGGATAATCGCATCTCCGCACTCCAAAATAAAGGATGGTAAAGCAACTCTGACGCCTTTGGCCTGAAATTTAAAAAGTTTATGGTAATCAAAAGATGAAATTTGAAAATATCATTAGAAATAATCTTAGACACGAATTACATTTCGTAACTCCTTTTAGTCCATCGTTACAACTACTTGAAGATCCAACGCAGTTAGATTCTTCAGGCATATCTTGCTAATTCTTGAAATGAAATCATAAGACAACTATGTAGTGATCCAATAAGTACTTTTTCTTAAATTTCAAATAATTACGATAAGAGTGTTTAAAACAAATTGGAATTGGTCCATTTTGCAGAAAAACCTTCTACGAGATCAAAAGGTATTACTAACAGATTGATGGAATGCAAGACACTTTTTCCTGGTAAAAACTTCCTTTTCTTCAAGGGATAAACATTATTAAGATGCAGTTTAATTCAACATAATGTTCATTACCTCATTTCAGCATTAGGATTTAATAATTGCAAAAGCAGATCAATAGCTTCCGGAATATGTTCCACCAGGAAAAGGTCAACTTTATTCTTTGTGATATTGATGTCACGTTCAAGAGGGCTACCAAAAGGGTGTCTACCACCAGTAAAGCAGAAAAACAGAACACAACCTAGACTAAACACATCGACTGCCCTTGTTTGACGCTGACGAAGAAGCTGTTCAGGAGCTTGCCATCCCGAACTTCCACAGCCTGCAATAATTCAATCAACAAAAGGAAACATATGACTTTTCATAATAATAAAAGCAACCAGTGGCAATTCCATATGACAGGTGAAGGCCATATACATTTCCAAATATCTGGTCATTAAATTATCCAACCAAAATTTGAAAAAGTTAACTTTTGGAGTATTAGACTAAATATTTACACGTGACCAGTAAGGATGATATTGGAATAAGAAAGATAAGAAGGTTGCTGCATTCAGGATCTACATACAATCATAAGATCCGCAAAAATAACCAGTCAAAAGGAACCAAGATGCAAATGCATTACCAGTAGCATGATGCCCCAGTGAGGATGTGTCTTCAATAAGACGTTTACTAATTCCCATATCAGAAAGCTTTGCACAAAAAGATCTATCTTTGAATATTAACACATTTTGCGGCTTCAAATCGCGATGCACAATTCCCAGTTCATGGAGATGTACAAGTCCGCATATCACATCCCTGTTTTCCAATTGGAGTTAAAAAAAGGGGGAAAAGAACAGTTAGCAGGGTAAAAAGGGTAGAGCATTCTTTAAAAGTTCATTTTCAGGGTACAAGTGTTCTGTGACATTTATTAACCTCATCAGCTTCAACAAAACAGGTGAAGGATATCCATCTGCCTTCCACAGTTCAACCTCCTGCATAGAGCCTTTTATAGATTCCAAATGGACCCTATACTCCATCGAAAACTCTGTATCCATGTTTTTGCTAATAAATGCATGACAAAAATTTATTATTTCTGCTAGGTGATAATTAATAACTTTTTCAACAGAACTCTTGTGGTATTAATTACTAGAAAGGAACTTAAGCACGTACATATAACACTATGAAGTTTTTCTCTGTATATGTGATTGTATTCTTGTGTAAATTGCATTAAAAACATATGATATCTCAACCTCAACAGCCTAAACTAAACTCTGCAACTTTATGCAAGGACTACAGTATTGTTTGCATTCACATATGCCTCGTTTACAATTTAATGGCTAAATTATTGGTGAAATATAAGAGCCAGCTTTTGTGATAATATTTGAAGTACTTGGGTGACTGAGATGAAGCATATTGTCCAGCTAGACATAAAAGGAAATTGAATAATGCTTGTCTATCAATCAAGTTCCATTATAGGTCTACAATCCTATTCCATGCAATCTGAATTATCGAACACCTCCTTTCTTCGGTTATCACACCAACGGTATATTCAGATCAACCACCCATTTGCCATTGATTGAGGTCTGTTTGTGAGGAAGTAATAGGACGCTGAGGATATCGAGTCTAATTGACAAATCTCATTGCTCGATACGATTTTCTGTTCCATATAAATGAACAATTCAAGTATCGCAATACTCGTACAAATCATACTATCTGGTTTATACATGAGATGAAGTAAGCATTTTTGCCTCAATGTCAAGTATAAAACATAGTCCAAAAATTGACATATTAAATGGCTCACACATGCAGCAAATCAAAAAAAAACCAGAGTCAGGTTGAAGTATGGGTAACTATGCATGTCATCAAGAGCTTGAAAACATAACAAGTACTTGAAAATAATCAAAAACCAAAAGCTACAAATAAAATTTGATGTTGTTAAATACATGACGAAAGGATGTTAAAATGATATCCTTGTTTTATTGTGATAGAAGAACCTCAAGTTTGCACCACGTAGTACACCAACAACCCTTGCTTAGATATTAGCACATTCATGTGATGTTCATTTACTTAGGACTACCATCTAAGGCTTCCTTTCAAACAATTTTCAAATAGTGAAAAAAAGAGGGATCTTTTTGTATTCTGCAATAGTGATATCGTTTAAATGTTACGTCAAACTTTATAATATGCATCTTATTATCTATGGTACTTCTAATTTGTAGTAGTTTGTTAAAGCTGTTTTCAAATTCTTGTAATACTCTCAAGCTCTTAAATTAAACTATTTTAACTACAAAAAATTGTGTGCTATTAGTTGAGAGTGAGGATGATGTATGTAATTTATCACATATATGAATAGTGTGATAACTAAGAATGTGAATGTGAAAAGGGCCAAAAAAGAAGAAATCGCAGTTTGAGATCAAATGGTCAAGCAATGAAATTTGACAGCAGATATACTATTTCAAAAATAAAATATAAAAAAAGAGCAGACATATACTTAAGAAATCGCTGCCAAAGAAATAAGGTTGTACATTGATTTTTATAAGTAGAATAAGGTGGAATGGGGATATATAGCATTAGTAGGAACCTGATTGACCAAATCATAGCAATGAGAATCATTCTGTACTTTTTCCTTTTTCTAGGTGTGCAATTGATATAATATGCTTATCTGAATCTTCTAATATATACTGTGCTTTGCATTTGTTGGGAATTATGACCTTTTTATACGCTCGAGCACACATTAACCATGTGAACTAAGTAGGGAATTATGAGCTTCAAATATACTTGAGCACACATTCACCATGTGAACCATGTAGCGGCCAGCACCTAGTTTGAGAATGGAAAGATCAGCAATCTAGATCGAGGATCCTAAATAAGGTGGGAGTGTGGATCACTATGATTATGGAGAATAAAGAAGTGTTTCCTTCAAGAAGGGTTTACTATGACATCATTTATAGGGTTGAAATCTTGCATACGAAGGATGAGATCGTTATCAAATGCTATTATTCAAGTTCAGCTACGAATATATTTTTTAAGGGATCTATCAACCCATGAACTTTGAGTTACATGGAAGCTAGTCAGCAAGAACTCATTCCAGTTAGGGAATTGGGGAGATGATAGATTTATTGATCAATGTAATTGCAAACTCATCAAATGACGAGAAGCCTTTGGCTATGAAGTGCATCAAATCAACAATATATGCAGCCTTAAGCAACAAGTTTTTAAAGGAGTATAATGAAAATCTCAAAAGCGCAATTACAGATCTTTCACCTAAAACTAGAGAATACCAAAATGCCAAATTATGTTCAGCATTTGGCTACCAGTTCTAAAATAGAGAGTATCTGATTCGTCAATTTTTTTTTTAATTAAAAATAAATAAAACCAGCTCCATGCGTACTTTTTGTGTTCACAATGTGAGAAAAACCAAAATAGAATTTTAGGTTATTCAACCACTCATCTGAACCACGAATTAGTATCCGATCAAAAGCACAATTATTAATAGGAAGATTACAACTCTGAGACACCAATGATAGAAAACAGTCACTCATGTAATTATCAGAGAATAAATACAGTTTTCATTGTTCTGCAGAAAGAACAAATAATAATAAAACAATGTTACTCGTCACCCATGGATTGTTAACAAATTTCATTAAAAATTTGAAACAAAGGCCACTTTGAAAAATACTTGTTTAGAGGAACATGAGAAGCAATACTTCAACAAGAGTTCTGTAAGTAATCAAAATTCTCCAGCATAGTGAGTTCAGAGATCAACGTGATATATAATATATTACAACTTAGTGATATTAAACAACATGGTAAGGAAATGTAAGAGCAATACTACACATTCTAGATTATCAAAGTTACTCAACCTTAAGTCCATATTAAGAAGAAATTTACACCAATCTCTATCTGAGTTCATCAGTTTCAGTAATTATTAAAGACAATTGTCAGTAAATCGTTGTCAATAATCAGGACTATCAAGCAACAACTCTTTAATTATTAACTCAGAGCACAGATTATTAGCTTGGAATACATGGATGCTGTTGCTTAAATTTTAAGTAATTACAGCAAAATGCAGGATTAAGTAATAGTTAAACATACCAGTTTGCCCCCGAGGCTATTGTGCGCATATAATTCCCAGTCATCCCCACAATCAATGAAGTAACCACCTCCTATTCCTGATACATTTTCTGTATCATTAACAGAGGCCTGATATGATGAGTAAATTGTTTGTCCTGATGAAAATGACCAGAGAGGTTTTGTAGACCCAAGCTCCAATAAATAAATTGTACCATCCAAACCAGCCACTAATGCAGTATCAATTTCAGTTCCCCTGATTTGGCAAAGAGGTTTATTGCACAATCAAAATGAAATTCTAAAGCACGACTCAGATCTATAAAATACACCACAATCAAAATGAAATTCTAAAGCACGACTCAGATCTATAAAATACACTCGTACAAGTATTTAGGATATTGTTTCAGTGATACAGGCAAAAATAAATACTGGTATAATTACAAGCAGCAGTTAAAAATCAAAACGAAAAAATTGCACAGTATTCTGATTTGTAACATATCATAAACTTTTCAAAATTGCAATTGTTTGTTGAACTGTTGATATAAAATTATACAAACCCTAATTCTACACACCCCACCAAAATTCATAATTTCTAATCATAAACTGAAAATTGGCTATAAACAAAAAAAGATCAACATTTCATACACTATAACAAATGCACAGGCAGAAAGAAAGCTTACTGTATCGTATTCGTATCTGATAACAGAGACCGGCGAGCTGGGGCTTGAAAAACTCCATTGATTTTTTTCCCAGTGACACTATTATGGGGCTTAAAAGAATCTCCTGTGGAGCCCGAATACACCAACAATAAACATAAAACACATAAAATGAGAAACGCCGACCGGCGTCTCATCGATGATTCGATTGATTCTGAAGCTGTAACAAAGAACCGATTTTTCGATTTTTAAGATAAATTAAGGGAAGTAACGTTAAACTCTTGAGAATTGATCTGAGCAATGGTACACGAAAACGAAGATTCGAAGCTTTAGAGAAGATTTGTTGTATCCAGTGTAGATTTGGAATCGTTGATTACCCGATTCTTTCAGACATGACTTTTCTTCTTGTCACCGTTGTCAGTCCAAGGTTTTTTTTTTTTTTTTGGGTCTCTACGTAAAGTTTGGTGGTGTATTTAATTGAGAATTTTAATGATTTTTTGTGATTTAAAAAGTTTAGAGGTATTCAATAGAAATTTTGTAAGACTCAAAAATTCATGGTGTATTCAACAACTAAGATTTTTATAGATATTTAAAATGTCTCTAAAAGTTACGGTGTATTCAATTAAAATTTTTCAGAAGTCTCTATAAATATTGAGATATTCAAATATTAATGACTTCTAGAAACTTTTATAATATCTTAAAATTTGACTTTCATTAATCATGATATTTATTTTTTTTTTATTTTTTTTTCTTTCTCTCTCTTATTATTTATCTCTATTTTATATGAAAAAATTAAATTGGATTCTTATGATTGTTTTTTCCTTTTTTCATTCATTTTTTTATGAAAAATATTTATTTTTTATTAAATTATAAAAATTTATAATTAAATTTAAATATATTGATTTTTATTTATTTTTAAAAGTATACTATACTAATAATATTGAATCATATATATATATATATACCAGATTCATGTGAATTCTATTTCAAATGAAAATCTTCAAAAATCTTTTGAATTTCACAAAAGTCTATAAAATTTTAAAATGAAAATCAATAGAAGTCTACGAAAGATTTCCACTAATTCCATACAAATCTTTAAAAGATCCACGAAATTCACAAAAAATCATCACTTAAAAAAATCCATTAAAGTTTTCAAAAGTCCCAATCGAATACACCTCTCCTAGGATACAAATTTCTCTCGAGGATCATAACAATAATAGGCAATAGTATATAATTTCAATCTCAGTCCTTGTTTTACAATTAGGACCCGTTTGTTTCTCATTAATATAAGAATGAGAATGAAAAATATAGTCGTTACGAGCCCCACACAAGCGGTGAAAATTCAAATATGGTAGTTTGATGGGATGAATAACGGTCATATTTTTCATTTTAATGGCCAAATAATAAGAAATTTTGAAAAAAAAATTCTGAATAATTATTTTTAATTAGATATTCACATGATAAAGTATTATATACGTGAACTCAAAACTATTCCATATTATTTAACCATATATTCTCTTAAAAATCTATATTCAAAACATTGTTTATCACAAATAATTATCATCAAATAGGGGCTCGATCATCAAAATGTAGCATTTAAATCCCCCATTCTCGTATTGTTTAAAAAATGGTGGGTCGGAACAAATTTTTTACACAAAATTTGAACTTTTAATCAAAGGAATGGATTAAATTGTATATCAAGGACTTGGGTTTTACTAAATTGAATGAATAAGGATTTAAATGCTCCATTCTTAAAGAATGGGGATCCAAACTCAAAATTGGTCAAAGATTAGGGACCTCCATTGCTATTTTCAGTTTTCTGTCTTTTTATTTCTTTTTCACAAAAAATACTTGGATAGGACCATCCTACATGGTACGGTCATCCAATGAGAAGCTGCCATCTCATCGATGGCCAGTCTCACCCAATGAGGTAAGGTCACCTCGGGATTTGAGGTGGAAAAAAAAGAGAAACTCAAATTTTGAGGTGCCTCAGTTCATTAGACGTGATTAAAAAATGCCCTCTAGAGAGGGGCTAAGATTTGCAGTTGGCAATTTAAGGTCAAAATAAATGAGCTACAATTATGTTCACTGCTATATGAGGGTGTAATAAGGTGAAAATAGACAAATAATTGCGCAGGATGCACAATCCTGCTTGGAGCGATTGAATTGGACTAGTTGCAAATTACTGATACAACATTCAAATTTTTTATTAAAATATAGGAAGAATGCTGCTCATATAGGCACATAATTAATTTGTAAGCTATATTATTTTGAAATAATTGAATTTTTTTGAATAGTGATTTTTTAGAATTAGTTCAATAAAGGGACTAAACTTTTCATTTAAATCCGTTATTATCCTGTTCGAAAAATGTAACGTGACTTTCCCTTTAAATCAACATTGTTGAGGGATTATTAAATCTCATTTAAAAAGAAAAATGGGGTGATATGTACAAAAAAGTGAAAAAAAAATTAAAAAATATACTAAAAATATGTGACGAAACAACAATTAAAACATATGTTTGTTACTCAAGAGAATGACAAACACTATTAAAGAAAGTGATAAACACTGAAAAATAACACACTCAAAAAAGTGACATAAACAACAATCAAAACTTTTTGTCCCAAAAAAAAAAGAAGTGACAAGAATTTTTAAAAAATGACAAACACTATTCCAAAAAGTGACAAACACTCAAAAAAAATGATAAACACATAAAAGTGATAAAATATCAATCAAAACCTATGTTTGTCACTCAAAAAAGGACAAATAAAAAAGTAATAAACAAAAAAAGTGACAGAAATTTAAAAAAAAAATGATAAGCAATATTAAAAAAAATGACAAACGCTCAAAAAGTGATAAAAAAATAAAACAAAAATAACAAAACATCAATCAAAACCCATGTTTTGTCACTCAAGAAAGTTATAGAACTTTGAAAAAGTAACAAACAAAAAAAAAATGATAGAAATTTCAAAAAACCAACATAAAATAAAATAAAAAAGTGACAAACATTATTCAAAAAAGACAAACACTCAAAAAAGTGGTAAAACATCAATCAAAACCTTAAAATATGTCATTTTATACAAATTCAACCACTCCACCATTGTGTATTGAATTAGATAATAAATGACAATATAACAGACAATGACAATATTAGACATTTTACAATTATTAAGGAAGCTTTGTTCGGGATTGTTCATATACATACCATTTGAGGTAGAAACTTGTGACAACCAATAATCTACCATAAATGTTTAGCTACCAAAACTACTCATCATACTGGGAACTACTAACACTTAAAACGGATCACCATATCAATCTCTACATTAAAGGATTAAAGGCATGATCTCGAACACCACAAATTTTTATCGCAATTGGCAATGTTGCAGCTTCCACAACGCAACTAGCATTGTGGTATGTGCAGATAGCCATGTTCTATCGACAGGTGCTGATCCACCGGTATGGGAAGAAACAAAAAAAATTGAAAGTGAGCAATTTAATGCAAAAATAATTATATAAAACCAGTCAAAGTAAGGTAGGTATCTACCATTCACATAAAACCAATCACATAAAACTAAAAATGGAATATATTACAACATAAAATTGAATAAAAACCAAGAAAAAAGATAAAACACTGAAAAATCTTAGCTACCTTAGGTTTATACAACTTTGAAGAAAGAAAAATTCTTCTCTAAAGATCCTTCTTCAATAACCCTTTTTTTCTTCAATCCCTTAAATTCACTTTTTCCAACCATTTGTTTGAGTCAGGTGGTGGTTTGTAGAAGTCCAAGTCCAAGTCAGAGTCAGAGAGTAAGGTAAGGTTTCTGCAATTTGGAGCTTTTAGAGGTTCGGTGTTAAAGAGCTCCTCGAAGAGGAGACGGAGAAAGATGGCAAAGAGGATGGAGCGTCGAAGACGACAACAAATGTCAAAGACAGAGGTATCTCTTTGGTTCTAGAATCATATGTTGTGTTGAGAGACGTGAGAGAGGAGATTTCTCATGAGGGTGCTGAGGTTTGGAGATTTTAGTTAGGACATATTAATTACGATTTATGTGAGGTTTAATTCATTTCATTATATGTAATTTTTTTCATGCTGAGAGTATTGTGACTAATTTCCCCAAAAATCAAACTACTGGTTCTAACTAATATTATAAGCATTTTCGAGAGCTATTATTTGAATTTCGAATATATAAACCATTTTCTTTTTATTGTCCTTGACATAAAATAGAAGTTTTAAAAGATTACGATAATAAATTATTCAATTTTGAATTTTTTAATAAGCTTTCTTTGACAAAGAGACACCTTGTTTTATATTGTTTTCAACGTTACAAATCTATTTCATTATGATGATAAATTGTCTCAATAAAAGATAAAAGGAATAATTAAAAAAAAATCCAAGATTGTAATTGATGAATTTCACAAAAAAGGATTTTTGTAACAACATCATGAACAACAAATGTAGATAACAGAAAAAATGGTTAAAATATATCAAAACAGGAAAAGCAAGAATACGAAAAACCGACTAGATCATCAATGATCAGAGAATGAAATCAAACCTCATTTTACTTGAAAAGCCTCTAATTGTACGACAGAAATCAGAGCTACAAGAATAATGTGTCGAAGATCAAGAAGAAATGTCACTACGAGGAAAATATGTTGTTAGCCAGTCATGTTGAATTTGTCTGGTTGTAGGTAAGAATTATAGTCCCCTGGAACTTCCATCTTTCCAATTATCTGGTCGATTCCTGCATTCACTAGTTTCGCATTCAAAGAAAGCAAAACAAATATTAATCCCACTTTCAAAAACTCATCACACATTTCATAGAATTCATAATTGTTATCAACTTTTCAACCAGACTTTTCTTTTACTTTTATCAAAATCTAATTTTTAGCTAAACCAAACAGAGGCATGATATCAATCATCTCTATATCATTGATACACTCACAACATACAAACGTAAAAGACACTCTGGATTACGAACTAAATTTTAGCTTTTGCCAGATCATTTTAAGCTAGAAATGACTATAAAGCATTTTGATAAACAAACTACTACTTTTAGATTAATGCTTACTCAAACATTTTTTATCTCTAAATTCTCTTCAGATAACATGAGTATTTGCTTTGCATCACTCAAACAATCTTTAGATTGAATTGTGGTAACTTTTTGAATTCTGGGCCCAATTGTCATGTGAAGAAAGGAGGAAAGACCTCTAATCAATCTAACAACACACCAAGCAAGACGACGCATCAGAAAAATGGCGTCCCTTCCAAAATGTGATGCAAAAGAGGAAAAGAAAACACTGAGGAATTTGGTAAAGAAGTCAAATGTGTCAACTCCTATAGTTGCCAACAGTATTAATGCATAATAAGGCCAACTCGTGTAGTTATTTGATATCAAACTAGTTTACTAGAGAAATTGTGATATTTGTAAACAACATTGTGTAGTCTTAGTTTCATATATACACACAAAAAAACATAAAAACATTTCTACATAACTGTCATATATCAAGTAAAATTGACTTCCGGTTTTCAAATTGTTATTACATGATAGGTTAAAGAATAGTTACCTGGATTTAATAACACATTCCCATTAAGGTTGGGCAAAACTTCTGAACCGAACTAGACGGTTCTTCTCAAGTTAAATACCCGAACGGGTATCTAAATTGAGAATCGACAGGTACAGTTCGATTCTCGGTTCCAGACCAAGAACCGAAAAATCGAATTTTTCTAAATTTTTTTTTATATTTAATAAATCAAATTATTTTAATTTTTTCTAAACAAATTAACTAATTAGGTGATTGATTAATACTCAAGCCCTAGTCTAGCTAGCTTGACCCAATCCAACTAATTTCTAAATCCAATTTTTTAGTCTAATTATTTGTTTCATTTTTAATTTTTTAATTTTTAGCTTAAGTGCCATTTTTATTCTTTCATTTCTTAGCCCAACATCTAAGTGATCCAACTTACTAATAAATAACCCTAATAAATTATACACATTATCACATAGACATAACACATCTGACATTCCGAAACCCAAATAGAAGTAACCACTGACTCCGAGTCCAAAGCTATGACCTCCGGGCTCCGACCGCAACCTCCGACCGTTGATCTTTTGAACAAGGTAGTGTGTAAGCTTCCCTATGTGTGATTTAATCCATTTGAGTATTTGTTTTTGGATTCATAACTTAGATTTATTGAATCCATGAAATATTGTTTTGGTGTTCATCTCCTCCTGTATGAGGGTGAGGCTGCTTGTTTATTTTTAGAGCAAGGAAGTAGTTGATTTCACATGCCAAAGGGCTTTGACATCGTGTCCATTATGTCCTTTGTAAAACTACGATTGAATATGTCATTAGTTGTATTTATGTAGTATTGTTATAAATATTAAAAAATTTAATTATAGTACGGAACGGAACGGAACCGAACAGAACGGAACCAAACCCGAACGGTTCCATAATTATATTTGGACCCAACAGTTCCATTTACTAAATACCCGAAAAAAATTTGTTCGATTCGATTCTCTTTAAAACCGAACCAACCCGCGCTCAGGCCTAGTCCCCATAGACACTTGACCAAAACTCCCACCATGCTTCAAACTGCCTTCTGGAGGCAACATGCTTTCAGGCTTCCTTTGTTCGTGGTGGATCCATGGAATGCATTGCAGAACTAGCGTCGAGGTTTTGGTAACTGAGATCTTCAGTCCTTGAACTCAGGGCGTGCCGAGGCTGAAAATCCTCTGGCTCTGTCTCATTCTCATTTGGGGACTCAACATCTGTCTCCACTTCTGGTTCAGCAGTATTTGGTGGTTCAGCCTGTTGCTTCCTTTTTGATCGAGCACGCCTGTTTTGAAACCAATTATAAGCATTAGTCTCTGAAATTTGGCCATGTTGGGACAATTCAAATGTTATCTCTTTGATTTTCTGCTTGCTTGGAGTTCCAGTCCCTTGATCGAATATAAGCTCAAGAATCTGAAGTTGCACTTGATCAATAAAAAACACACACACGCACATATATGTATGTGTTTTATTGATCAAGTTCATAATTGGTCCATAATAAAGCAAGAAAGTCGCACTTCTCGATGAAAAAATTAACCACTTAGACCAAATTTAAAATGGTGAAGCAGCGCAAAATCAAAATCATTTCCGTTCTATGTACGTAACGAATATTTTTCGGCAATAATTTTCACTTAAAGCTGGCGGAACAGGAGATCATGGAAACAAATAGAAAATCATACGTATATACGATCATAATTAATTGTTTAATTACTGGAAAATGGTAAAGTAGCATAAAATCAGTAGGAAAAGAAAAATTTAAATTAATGCAAAATTGAAATTTAATTGTATCAAAAACCTTCAAGATTGTGTTGAAGAGTGAGGGATTTGTGGTAATGGACAAGTTGTTCACAAACGAAGGCGTAAACAGCGATCTGCTTGCGGAGGATTTCAATTTGTTCATTTGTCATCACCTTCACAAAAATTCCTCCATTATTAACTTCCTCTGCAAGTTGCTGTACAATTTGTTGGTTTTCCCACTCCATTATTAACTTCGATTCTCATTACACACTCAAAAAGTCAGTCTGTGCCCTTGAGCCCCATTTTTCAACTAAAATACATTTTCCAATAGTAATTTGACGTTATTCAGCCACACATTTTTCAATAAAATAATATTATACTCAAATAAAAAAAATTTCCTTATTTTTTAACCACATATTTTTCATCAATACACTATTCAAAAATTCATTTTCTTTACAAAAATGGGGCTCAAACAAGGGCAGAGGTTCGAGGTAAACAGAGAAAGATTGTTGAGAGAATATATGGAGAAAAGAAAAAAAAATGAACCCTATAGTGGAGGGAAATACGAATATAGGC